TGTAAAAAAAAAAAAAAAAAAAGAATATGCTGATCATGATTTTATTTAAATAGCTTAAAGCTCCCACCTTAGGAAGCAGAGCCAGAAACAAGAAGGAATTTTTGTGTAAGTGATTTGTTGGGGAAGTGCTCTTGGAAGAAGGGGAAGGAGGAAGGCAGAATTGAGCAGGAAGTTAGAGGAGTTAAGCAAGGATGTGGTCTCAGCTAGAGACTAGTTTTGACCTCGTCTCAAGGGGAAGCTCTGGAACAGTATGGTACCACAGAACGAGCCCCACCTTGACATATGGGGGCTGCCTTTTGTATCCCCTGGTTGGTCATTCATTGTCTGAGGTTTTCAGGGACAAATCTCCAGAGAAGGTAGCACCAGTGATTTGCCAACAGCTAAGGGGGTAAGTTTGGGAGGGGGAAAAAGGAGATCTAGGTAGGGTACCAACTGCATCCACTGCAGTTCTCCTCTACTTAATGTGATTAAGAAGGCAAAAGATAACATGGCATAGCCACCAAGAGGGCTATAAGTTTGTGTGTTTGTTTTGTTTTTCAAAGAAAAACAGCAAATGTTGGTAATGATACAGGGAAATTGAAACCCTCATTCATGCTGGTGGGAATGTAAAGTGGTACAATCCCTTTGGAAAACAGATTGGCATTCTTCAAAAGATTAAACAGAGAGGTGACATTTGATCTAGTAATTCCACTCCCAGGTATGCACCTGAGAGAAATAAAAACATAAGTCCACACAGAAACACATACACAATTGTTCAGAGCAGCATTATTGGCAATAGCCAAAAGGTGGAAACAATCTAAATGTCCATCTAGTGAAGTATGGATAAACAAAATGTGGTATATCCATTCAGTGACATATTATTCAGCCACAAAAAGGAATGAAGTATTGATACATGCTACAACATTGGATGAACCATGAAAACATCATGCTAACTTTAAAAAAACCAGGCACAAAAGGCACATATTATAAGATTTCATTTATATAAAATGTCCACAACAAGCAAATCCATAGACAGAAAGTAGATTAGTGGTTGCCAGGGACTAGGGGAAGGGAGAATGGGGAGTGACTGCTAGTGGATACAGAGTTCTTTTGTGGGGTGATGAAAATGCTCTAAAATTAGACAGTGATGATGATTATGGAACCCTGTGAATATAATAAAAACCACTGAATTGTAACAATTCAAAAGAGTGAATTTCATGGTAGAGGAGTTATGGCTGAGTAAATTACTTGTTTTAAAAGATGGCACTGCCAATTTCCTGAGCTCTGCATTCTTCTGGTATATAGTGTTGATGTTCCACATATATATGACCTTAGAAAGCTAGTTCACCTTTAGGAAGGTCCTCAAATTATGATTACAGAATATTTTTTGTGAATGCTACAGAATATTCATTTCTGAGCATATTTTATCTCCTGGAGAGTTTTATAATGACAATCAAACTGGTTCTTTTTGGTTTTATTGGTCTACTTCTACCCTTGCAGGGGCCAGTGAATCCATGGTGCCAAGCTGTCAAAGATGAAAAGTATGTAGATTTAATGCTTCTGGTAAAACAGAAAGTTCTCATAAAATTGGAAGATTTTAATACCCTGGAACCCCCAGTCATTGCACATTTACTATGAACCCTCAAAGTTTTTTAAGAGATAGGTAAGCAGTTTTTTCAGCTACTTCAGTCATTCTGGGGGACCTCAAACACGTTTTCAGAAGTAGATTATTTCAGAATTATAGATTTAAATGAGGTGCAAAGCTGCTTTGTTATCAGATGACAAGCTGTCTTACTGAGCTAACAAGACATGGGATACCAAGAACATAGACTACAGGAAAATGCTACCAAAATAACTCTTGAGATCTTGACAAATGAAATTAATACATCAGGCTTTTTCAAAGGTCGATTTCCAAACAGGAAGAAAAACTCAGTTATACTAGGGTTGGCAATAGCCAAAGGAAATGTGGTATCCACACAAAGAGGGTTGATTCTGGAAACACGGAATCAAAAAAGAGGGTCAGGATCAAAATTGGCAGTGTCTACTCAGCACTGTCAAGGCAGAAAAGGTATCTTGGCCCATGAACATAGCTTACCAGACCTTGCAGCAGGTGGTCTCTGGGCTAGAGGTTGCTGCATTTAGCTATAGAAACTGAAGCTAGTAGATATTAAAATCATCCAGCCACCTCCTCCCTCTCTGGTTCCCTATCCATCAGCAGCCTTCTGGTTACACCAGGGCTTCTGCTGGAACTTCTTACCCAGATAGAATTTATTAACTTGTGCAAAAAACAAAACTTAAATTTTTCATTATAGATTTACATATTAGAGCTCTGGTTTCTATATCAGTCTCCTGCAACTTGGTTTAATGGTAGTCAGTCTCATGGGGTGGTTCAACTCTAGATCCAGCCATATACTCCTCTTCTCTAAGGATATCAAGTTAGAGACATGCTAAGTAGGGGACTTCAGAAACATAAGCTAATTTATACATCCCTGGGCCCAAAGGTACAGAGTCTTGACTTTGAATGAGTTGACTTAACTGAGCCCAGCTCCCAACATGTTCCCTCCAAAGTCCATTCAGTTGGCCCACCCAAGGTGACCCTTTAACCACACACACAAAAAGAAAAGTCTCTTTCCCTTGTGAGAATACTTTTAGAAAAGTTGCTTCTGTCTTTGGTGTATTTCTTTAATTTGTAGACAAACTGTCATATCACATTGCCTAGATGGTCATACAACTGGACATATTTTATTGAGTTATTCATTATGAGTAGAGAAAAAATGACCAAAACAAAAGCTGACTTCATTGACTTTCTTATGCAAGGCCATGTGAGCCATGCTATAATCAACTCCCTCTTAGTCTCACCCAACAGTATATCTATCTACAGCCACATCTATTATGCTGAAGGTGCAGGAGAAGGCAGGGGCTACGTTTTTTGTATCTTTATATCCCCAGGGCTGAGTACAGTCCTTGGCATACAGGAGATGCCAAATTAATATTTGCTGGATAGATTATCAAATGAATGAATGAATACGTTTCATGGGTAAGAGAAAGTTTGGAAATGAGTATCATTGGCCCAAGAAAGTAGAGAGGAGCATGTCATGTTTTGGAAAGATTTCCATTCCTCAACTGATTCAAATACCAAAGTGCTTGTGTTTAAAGGTTAAATATGTATTTATTCACCTCTCCACCCAAAACATGATTGATGAATCTTCTCTCCTCTCTCTCTCTCTCTCAATCTCTCTTTTTTCCCCCGGGAGCCAACATTTGCAGTTACACTTTAGTCATGCAGCACATTGATTAGATTGTTCATGTATTAGTTTGCCTGGAAAAGAGATAGTATTGAAGAAGCCAGAGAGAAAATGAGAATCAAGAGGCCATAATCTCAGAAGAAAATTCTCACTCTTCATAGCCTAGAGTGGTGATGGCATATTAACAGAATGGGAGTACCCAGCCTAATTCAATACCAGCATCTTTTTCTTCTTTTTAGAAACAGATAAGTCACTCAAAAAAAGGGGTTGCCCTCCTTTTCTCTTCTACTTAGATATCCAGCTCCCTGTTGAATAATAGATCAATGTAAAATAAAAGATAAATTCAATCCCTACTCTCGGAGAATTTACAGTTCAAACACAAGCTAGAAAAGATTAATCTTTAAGGAAGGGCCAAATTTTTATTCAATCTTTCTAGAGTATCCTGGATAAAACTCTACGCATTAAAGCTTCATCTAAGATTAATATGGATGTAGATATATTTGCCTCCTTCTATTTGCCTTTTGCCTTTTCATTCATGATCTATATTATAGACTCATATGTTCTTTTAATAATATGGTCATTTGTCTAAAATTATAGACTCTTTGAAGAAATTTTTCTGTGCTAAGCAGACTTTGAAGGATTTTGAATGACTGAATAAACCAATGGACTTATAAAGGCTCTGGAAGTCCCAAGATTCAAATGGCTTCCCAAGACAGTGAAAAAAACATTTCTATTACTAAAAATATGGCAATGTAAAGATTAGCCCATCTCTCTTTATGCAGTGGAATCCATGTAGTCAAATTACTTCAAACCATCTAAGCCTTTAAAAGTGGCCTCCAATATGACTAGCTTAGAAGAAAATCCACTTTAGCCCACCAACTGAAGGTAGCTGATCAGCATTCTCAATCAACATATTCTTCTAGGCCAGTGCATCCCAATCTTGGCTGCACATGAGATTCACTCAGAGAGCTCTGGTGGTTGTCCATTCAACAAATCAGAATGCAAAGGATGGGACCAAGGCATCAGTAATTTTTATCATTGTTTGGAGCAATGTAATATGCAGGCAAGGGTTAGAATCACTGCTCCAACATAATATTTCTCAAATTGTTCCCATAGTCTACCAAAATAAAACTATCAGAGAACTGGTTAAAAGTGCATGTCTCTGGCTTCTACCACAGACCTAGTCAATGGGTGTTTTGGAAAATCTGTTAGTGGAACAAACCCTACACAGGTGATTCTTATGCACATTTTAACATACCTTGCAGATTAGCTTTTTCAAATCTATTCCATGTCCCTTAGATCGGTGGTTCTCAAAGTATGGCCTTTGACTAACAATATCATCATCACCTGAGAACTTGATAGAAATGTAAATTCTCTGGGGGCCCCTATCCCAGACCTACTAAATCACAAACCCAAAAATGTATGTCTTAACATACCCCCAGGTGCTTCTGATGCAAGTTCAAGTTTGAGCACTAATGCCTTATAACATGGCTTACCCAGAGCTAGAGGGTAGAAAACTAAAGATTACCTTTCCTATACTGTCTTAGAGCTCACGTTCTTCTTGTGACCTGCCTTCTGCCAACTAGATGAACCTCTGTGTGGTTTGGAAGGTAG